AGCTCTCCCCGCGGACGCCACCCGATGGCGGACGCGGACAATGACGTCCGGCCCAATCCGAGAACAGGACAGGTGGCGACGCATGAGTCAGCTGTTCGCGGCTACCGCGGGTTATGGCTAGCTACTGGCGAAGTCCAAGCAAGTGGACGCAGCCGCCGCCGCGCCGCGCCGCTCCCGCCCGCAACGCACCAACCGCAGGCGAGGAGTGTTGTACACAGAAGGCTGGCGATTATATATTTGCTGAGGAGCTTACTTCGCGCACAAATCACGGTCAGCCCGGCATCGCACTGGCGGCCGTGACACCATTTTCACACCAACGCTTGGGTAGGAACGTCTGGGCGACTAAAATCAGCGCAGAAGGGGCAGGTAGGCGGGTACAGTGGGCAGCAGCGTGTGGTGTCAACTGTCCACGCCGGCTTTTAGAGTAATGGGCGACTATCACTCGAACAGGTCCGGGAAAGCCCGTCCACAGGCACCGACCTCAATTACGTCGATGCCCCATCCGAGTGGATGGGGACAGCTGAGCAATGATTGTATGAGAGAATTGACTGATAGATAAAGCCATTGAAATGATACTCTACTGAGCTGGATGGGCGCGGCTAACAAAAGGACTCGCGACAATGTAGCCGGCAGCTGAACAGACACTACCGGTCGAACAGCCCACATCACAACGTCCCTTGCCAAAGAGAGACACGGAGAACAACGGACACAAATACGGGCTAGGCGCCTAACTTGATCGGCTAATGTCAATAGCTGGACACCAGCGGGCCGGGCGGAGAGAGTTCGGACATAGGTCCGGGTGGCTCAGATATCGTGGCATGGACACACCAGCTGTGCTAACAACAGGTGCAGATAAATGGACCGCCCGACGATACAAGGCCTGTCCTGAAAAGGAGGTCTGGCATTTACGTGTTAAAAAGATGCAGTGTGCGACGCGCCAACCAGACAGCATACGCGTAACACGGGCGGCATGCTCGGCCTAGCCACGAGTCCCGTGCGCCGGCTATTTGGCCACCGGAAGTCCGATTACACTCGCCAAGCTGGCGCTTCTGCATCGCCATGCTTTAACGACCCACGGACAGTACCAGAGGTGCACGGTCGCATAATCCGTTCCCTCCTCAATACGAATTACCCTCAGCTGTCCATGTAAACGGGGTGAGTAACAGACGTCAGCTGATCAGGGGTTATGGACGGCTAGTTGCTTGGTCCCACAAGTCCGCTTACACACGCCGTTCGTGCTTTCTGCACACCACACGGCGGGCGGGATGAGTGCGGACTCAAGCGTCGGCCGATGTCAGGCTGGCCGCGGCGCCATCTGGGATCAGCTGACTGGAGGTTATGGACGACTACTTGCCCGCTCCCCACTAGTCGGCTCACTCACACACCCCTTTTGTCTGCAGTCGCCCAGACTGTCGGGAGGGGGCAAACCGCAACTGGAGACCGGGCGGACAGTCGCCGTGCGGCGTATGACGTCAGCTGCTGGCAGCCGATGTTATGGGTAGCTACTGACTCGGTCCTGACAAGTCAGGTTACACACGTGGCGCGAACTACACACACCGCGGACCGATCGTGCGTGACCGTGCTTGCAGACTGAAGCTGGGTATTATTTCACAATGCAAATAACGGCCTGTGTCCGCAACTGAATAGCGCCGGTAATAGGGAAGTTGGCGATTTGCTGGCTTGCAACTAGTAATGAACTAATGGACACAGACAGACCAGACGGCCCCGGCCCTCTGCGTTCCGGTCCGGGCCGCGGCGGCGCCAGTGAGGCCGCGCAGGTGCCGTCTGGCCTGGTGGCGGCCGCTTCCGGCCCGACCGGTCGGCGGGCGGCTCGGCGCGGACCGGCGGGCGCCACCAGCCGGCGCCGGGCGGCACATGCCGGCCGCCGGGCCGGCGCCCTTCCGGGGCAGCTGCCGGGCGGCTGTCACTCGGCGCCCATCACACCACGCGCCGGCCGCTTTTTGCACGGCTGCAGGCCGCTAATGCGGAGCACACAGTGCGTCGATCAGGGGTCGGGGGACGCGCAGAAGTCGCCCGGCCAACGCACAGGCCGCCGGCCGGCGATCGCCCCGTACTCGCCGATGAATAATGCATCGTCGGTATAACTGGACCGATCCACGCCGGCCGATGGCCGATCCGGCACCGCCATTGTCCGCGGCGAGGTGACGCGTCCCCGACCAGGAAGCGTACCGTCGTAACACTAACATTTGCATCGGCGCAAAGGCTGGCAAACGGCCAGACAGGAGCGCACCGCACGCGCGGTGCCGATGAGTGTCCGTGCCGGGCCGCCGACCTGCCGCTGTGGCTCGCCAGGCTCGCCGCCGTGATGGCGACACCAGCCGGCGACCGGGCGCCCTTTGGCGCCGCCACCGCCGCCGGCTAGCGGACGCAGCCACAGGTCGGTGCCCACAACGGGACAACACGACCGATATCATCGTGGCCGGCAGGGCCCGGTCGTTCGCACGGGGCGGCCGGCGCGGTCCAGCGCGCGCCACCCGGCCGGCCGCCAGCCCCGCGTTCCGATCGGACGCTCGCAGCGGCCCTGAAGCCCACCAGAGCCAGCGGCCGGGCCGCGTCGACGCAGAGGGCGGCGCCCGAGCGCGCCAGAGACGGGCGACAGGCCAGTGTTCGGAGGGCCGCCGGGGGTGAAGCGCCGCACCGTGGCTCAGCGGGAGCAGCCGAACCGGACGGCTGGATGACTCGTCACCACTCACGCCGCGCGCCAGTTTTCTGCGCGTGTTCGCGACACACGCTCAGAGTGCCGAACGGCAGGCTTGACGGGACGACACCGCTGGTCCCGGGCTGGTCTGCGGAAATAAATGCCTTCCAACGACTCCCATCGATCCCGCCATTCAGCCTACAATGGCTCTAACGAAGTGAGACCAAAACGGGCATCTGGCCGCTTTGGTCTCACTTCTCAGCTGGCGGCGCAGGCTCCGCTCGCCCGCGCCGCCAGCGCCGCCGAGCCAGCCTCCGCACGTCCGTCAGTCTGACGCCCGTCACGGGCAAGACCGCTCACGTGTCACGGTCACGGGCGCGCGCTGGTCACGGGCCGCGCGCGCGCCGTGACCGGCGGCTCAACTCTGGCGTCACGGCCCGGTCGGGCCGGCGGCCGCGCCACTCAGCCGGCTGTCGGCTCGGCGAGACCAGCCCGGTTCGCCCGCCGGCCGGCCCGGAGGCGGCCAACTGGTCCAGGTCCGGGACAGCTGACTCGGCGAGGACCGGTCCCGACGCTGACAAGGACCGGGCCCGGTCCCGGGACAGCTGACCTCGGCGGGGACCGGTCCCGACGCCGACAAGGACTGGTCCCGGTCCCGGGACAGCTGACCTCGGCGAGGACCGGTCCCGACGCTGACAAGGACCGGGCCCGGTCCCGGGACAGCTGACCTCGGCGGGGACCGGTCCCGACGCCGACAAGGACTGGTCCCGGTCCCGGGACAGCTGACCTCGGCGAGGACCGGTCCCGACGCTGACAAGGACCGGGCCCGGTCCCGGGACAGCTGACCTCGGCGAGGACCGGTCCCGACGCTGACAAGGACCGGGCCCGGTCCCGGGACAGCTGACCTCGGCGAGGACCGGTCCCGACGCTGACAAGGACTGGTCCCGGTCCCGGGACAGCTGACCTCGGCGAGGACCGGTCCCGACGCTGACAAGGACCGGGCCCGGTCCCGGGACAGCTGACCTCGGCGAGGACCGGTCCCGACGCCGACAAGGACTGGTCCCGGTCCCGGAACAGCGGCCGGACGTCGTCCCGAGCGCCGGCGGCGCGCGGTGGCCACGGACACGGATGTAGCCGCCGCTGAGCGGTGATACGCCCTGCCGTGCGGCACACGGCGCCGACCAGAGACGAGACACGCCCGCCGAACGATGCGAGCCGGCGGCGACGGATTCAGGGCCAGAGCCGGACCGGATACAGATGGAGGGTGACATGTGTAAAGCGTGAGTCACAGGTGAGTGAACTGTGGACTATCGGCCCGCCGCACAGACGGGCTCTGTCATCGGCGGAACTGTGGACTGTCGGCTCGCCGCACAGACGGGCTCTGTCATCGGTGGAACAGTGGAATGTCAGCCCGGAGCACAGACGGGCTCTGTCATCAGTGGAACTGTGGACTGTCGGCTCGCCGCACAGACGGGCTCTGTCATCGGTGAAACTGTGGACTGTCGGCTCGCCGCACAGACGGGCTCTGTCATCGGTGGAACTGTGGACTGTCGGCCCGCCACACAAACGGGCTCTGTCATCGGCGGAACTGCAGACTATCGGCCCGCCGCACAGACGGGCTCTGTCATCGGTGGAACTGTGGACTGTCGGCCCGCCACACAAACGGGCTCTGTCATCGGCGGAACTGTGGACTGTCGGCCCGCCGCACAGACGGGCTCTGTCATCGGTGGAACTGTGGACTGTCGGCTCGCCGCACAGACGGGCTCTGTCATCGGCGGAAGCGGCGCCGCAACAGCTGGGAATGCCATCCAAGCGCTTCTCCGGGCAGTCTAGATACACGCTCAATGCTTATCGAGTCAAGATAATATCCATCGCTTTGGTCTACGAGAACAAGAAGACAGCTGCCAGCTGTCAGGTGCACGCGAGACACATCAGTTTACGGTTGCCACTGGCACCATGGACTGAGCAGGGGCTAACGTTTTGGCTTGCCGAGAGGTATACTTTAAACCGTTCCCACACAATCTGAATGCGATACTTGTTAGTATGCTGCCCATGACCGACTGACTGCAACCAGGTTTACCTGGTAGCAGCTCTGTCCGTAAGATTTGCCTGGTGCAAATGCAAATATTACAGGGACAATGCCAATGGCTTTAACAGTTTTCACGTATAGACTTCTGCTAGTAGCAGCAATAAGATGCGATGCACAATGCAACCTGTAATTAATCCATCATACACCTAACCATACAGATAACATAAGAGATATAACCACAACTTCAGACAGTCAGAGGAGCCTACGCATGAAAGCGGACCACCACCACACGCGGCGGCCCTCGGTACTCACAGCGGACCACCTCGGCCGGCGCCTCCTCTCCCGTCTCCAGCACCATCCCTTGCGCCGGCGGAGACCGCGTCCCTGCAACGGACGGCACCCGCGTGATCACCATGGCGACCGGCCGCCCACTGCCGACGCCGGCGCCGCCAGGTGACACGCGGCGGCCGACGGACGCGCCGCCAGCGGCGCCCTGATTGGCCGACGGCCGCGCGGCCCGCTCCACTTGCGGACTCGCGCGCGCTCCGCACGCGCCGCCGGGAGGACGCGGCCCGGCGACCCCGGTCGCCCCCGGCGCACGAACCGGACCGGAACCCGCGGCCGGCTGGCTCCGACGTCGCTTGCTAGGCCCGGTGAAAGTGTGAGCGCGTGCGGGGCGTGGGAGCGAGGCTGGACGGGCGCGGCCGGCGCGTGTGGAGCGTTGACAGGCGGCGGGCGGCGCCGCCGCTCCGGTGTACCGGCTCGGCGGCTCGTTAGTGCCGCCAGGTGCCGACGGCTGCCCCCGGCCGCCGGGCACGAGGCGGGGGCAGAGGGCACCGCTCTGGCGCCAGCGCTTGGGCTGTGACCAGCCAAGAGATACCATCGGCGGACGGGTCTGGAAATCAGACGCTTCAACGGGAATAAGTAACCAACGACTAATTGGTCGTTGTGGTATCATTCACCTATGCCCCTACAATTTCAGGGAACGGCTCAGATTTAGACGAGGTATCAGCTTTGCAGATAGACTAATTGTTTGGACTGTTGTCCCCACTCGCTGTGTTAGTACACACCAGACCAGAACTTAAGCCTGACGCAATTACTCTATCCAAAACACGCACCAACCGTTCCTTGTCTAACGACACAATTCGTCAACAGTACCTACATGAGCTCACAAACAGCGCTCCCACCGCCGGCCCGCTATTCTCCGGCGTGCATCGCCCGCGCACCGAGTAAATTTCACGTTATGCCAAACTTATGATTTGGGGGAGCGGCATATCAGCTGATTTGACTGTGTGGTGCGCGTCTGATATGCGGGCGGTGTAAACCTAGATCACGGTCGGCGATCCTAACGCGGCAATCCTGAATCCTTACGTTCAGTGTTTATACATATACATATATATATATATATATATATATATATATATATATGCATGTATGTACATTTGGCGAGAGCTAAGACGTCGGCACCTTGACTTCTCAACAAAATATCATGTGCAGCTCAGCTATTTTGGTGCCACTGACAAAATCGATTTCCATTGGATGTGCTGTGATTGTTCTCACAAAACCCCTATTTTTACGTTCTCAACGAACGCTCTCCGTGCAAATAATCATGGTACTGCCTGGAGGTGGGTGAGGAGGGAGGTGGGGTGACGGGGAGGGGAGGGGTGCGAGTTTAGACATGACTCATAGTTCGATGCCATGGCAATGTTTCGTGTCAGTCGTGGGTGCTGATGCGGCCTGCCATCAGTTTCACTTCTCGCCTCGGAGCGCGCCGCCGCTGGGGCTGGCCGCCCCGGCCGCCCGGCCTGCGCGGCGGGCCAGTCGACTCTGCGCATGCGCCGGCGGCCCGGGTTTGCAGCCTCAGCCGGTGAGGATCTACGCTGACGACCGGATGGAATGAATCGATCGGGTCTTTTTTACCAGTGATGTGCCGTGGTAGGTCATGCAGTGTTGCTCAGTATAATTCTCATCGAAAAGGGGGCAAAAATCTTCAAAGTATGACTTCGAGAAGAAGGCATTTGCATTCCGGATTGTCAAATTGTTTTCTCTTGTGAGAGCCATACCCCATTCCCTAAGGTTTGAGTCCCCAGCCTTTTTGCGGATTTTTTCACGAGGAAAGAGCTACCATCACACAGGGCTTTTTCTTCGGGCATAATTTGATGGTAATGAGCAACCAGTGTCAGTGTTTAAGAGTATTTTCTTTTGCATAGGTGTAAAAACAAAATTCAAAAACCGAAACAAAAGCAAAAAGCTGGCTACCACGACACGGTGGATATCAGTGCGTACTTGACCCTGTAGGATTGTTAGTAACCATGAGACAGAAAAGACCACTACCGACGCCATATACCGAAACCTGACGCTGGTGAAACCGGTCTTGTGACCGCGATCAAAAGCGGGTCTCACCATTAGTGCGATGCCTTGGACGGAGGTGACGGTTCAGGCCAATCGGCCACACCTCAAACAAGTACGGTTAATGGCTGCCACCGCGCTTCTTGATAGGTTCAACCACGAAACATTCTGCTTAATGCGGAGCTGGCCAGCAAACTGAACAGCGCTCAGCTCATTACCGCATAATGCACATGACCTACATAGCAAACCACCAAGCGGCCCGTTTACGAGCCGCACCCAACAAGCAGGAGTCGCAGCACGAAAGGCTTACGGTGGGATGCATCCTCCGTCGAGTGACTTGGGAAACCTCGCAAGACCCGAGAAATCGATGGCAGTCGAAACCTTTACGAGCGCGCCTGATCCTGTCAGCCGTGGCAGAGCGTGGCGAGCGCCACGAGCCAACATCTGTAGCGTCGTAGGAGCCGCTAAGTCATACCGCCGGGCCTGGACCCGACTCACAGCGCCAGACTCGGACCCGACTCAGAGCGCCAGACTCGGACCCGACTCACAGCGCCAGACTCGGACCCGACTCACAGCGCCAGACTCGGACCCGACTCACAGCGCCGGACTCGGACCCGACTCACAGCGCCAGACTCGGACCCGACTCACAGCGCCAGACTCGGACCCGACTCACAGCGCCAGACCCGGACCCGACTCAGAGTGCCAGACCCGGACCCGACTCACAGCGCCAGACTCGGAGCCGACTCACAGCGCCAGACTCGGACCCGACTCACAGCGCCAGACTCGGACACGACTCAGAGCGCCAGACTCGGACTCGACTCCCAGCGCCAGACCCGGACCCGACTCAGAGTGCCAGACTCGGATCCGACTCCCAGCGCCAGACTCGGACCCGACTCACAGCGCCAGACCCGGACCCGACTCAGAGTGCCAGACTCGGACCCGACTCAGAGTGCCAGACTCGGATCCGACTCAGAGCGCCAGACTCGGACCCGACTCACGACTCAGACCGTTGGCCGGGCCGCGGGGTGAGCCGGCGCCGAGCCGGGTGTTTCCGGAGCGGCGGCCGACTAGCCGGGTCCATCCGGCCGGCCCCGTTTCGCGCAGGGGCTCCCAGGCGCCGGACGGCGGCGGTCGTGACCCGACCCCGGCAGGTCAGCGGCCGGCGCCGCGTCCGACGTCGCTCCCGTCCGGGGAGAGCGCGACACACTTCTGGCCGCGGTGGACGCGGCGGTGATGCGCGGGGACGCCCGGCCCGGCCGTATCATGGCCGTACCGCTGTGTAGCGTCCGAACACACCGCGGACAAGGGGGCTCAGAGACCGCCGCTCAGGCAAGGGGGGCTCGGAGACCGCCGCTCGGGCAAGGGGGGCTCGGAGACCGCCGCTCGGGCAAGGGGGCCAGAGGCCGCCGCTCAGGTAAGGAGGCTCAGAGACCGCCGCTCGGGCAAGGGGGCTCAGAGACCGCCGCTCAGATAAGGGGGGCTCAGAGGCCGCCGCTCGGGCAAGGAGGCTCAGAGACCGTCGCTCAGGCAAGGGGGGGGGTCAGAGACCGCAGGAGAATTTTAGATTCCACCTTCCACGGGCCACGAGTGGTGACCTCTGCCGAGATCATAATAAAAAAATGGCGCGCCCAGCGCGTTAATCCGACCCCGCTGACCTGGTTTGTACAATCAGACGCAGCCTGCACCGAAGGTCGTTAACACGCCTGTTTTACAACGGTACGCCGGCTTTCCGACACCGCTTTCCAACTGGTGTGCCCACGAATGGTTTTGACATCACGGGACTTGTGAGGGCCGTTGGCGGTGAGAAAACCCCACTCCAAAGACGGCTTAAGAACCACAGGGCCACAAGACGAGCCGGGCCAGAGTGAAGAGGAAGCGTGAGGCCGACGGAGCCGCCTCGGATGTCAGCTGACGGGCGGCGCTGGCCACGCGACGGCAGCTGGCCCGATGGACCGGGGGCTTGGTTCCAGCCTGGCTATGGCACCGCAGCTCGCGACTCTCGGGTCAGTGAAGGTACGCTGGGACTTCACCGCTGCCTACCTGAGTCCAGATGGTCAGTGACGCAGCTGGGCGGCGGTACGGCGCACCGGCGGCATAGACAGCCGGGTGTCAACTGCAACCGTGCCGAAGGCCAGCTGGTGGACACGTACCCCGCCGTTTCAACACACCAATGCCAGATTTCGACACTGCGTTCTGGGTGGCTTCACTCGCCACGTCAAACCACAGCCCCCCCCCCCCCTTGACCACACCCGGCGCGCGGCGCGAGGTCACGTCGCGTGACGGACTGACCTGGGTCAGTGGCGTGCGGGGGCGTGGCCGGCGCCCGGGGCTTCATCAGCTGCCGGTGGTGGACGACGCAGTACAGGCGGCCCTCGTGGCTGGCGTACGTGTCCACGCTGGAAGGCGGCGCGACCGTTTATGACACGGCGCTGGGGCACCGCCGGGGAGCACGGGGACGCGATGACGGACGTCCCGCGCAGATTCAAACCAAACTGGGTTCCGCCCGAGCGAACGGAGACGAGTTATGCGTAACGTGGTCCACTCATAGATCAAGTGCCGTGCCTCTCAGATCAATGGTACACCAAACATGAGCCCAGTCATTCCAGGGACGGCAGTGTACGCCAGCGCAGAAGCACTGCAGTACTAGCGAGGCGGTGTATGCTGGCAGCGGTGGGCAGCAAGACATTTCATCGAGGGCTGATACCCCCGGAACAATGGTCCGTTTCCACCGAAACACGGCAGCACAACCCAACAAAGGCAGATGAGTCAGCAGCGCCACCTCCTGCGCAGACCGAGCGGCTGGGCCCGAAAACCAGGGCATCGGGTCGGCCCTGTGAGACCGTAACGCTTGGGTCGCGGCGCAACTCACGACGGCCTCCGGCTTGGCAGAGATGTCTTTTGTCGATAGGTCCGCGGTTTACCAGCCCGAATCATGGATGTCCTCACATGGCGCACCGCTTCGTGATGTCGCCGGGCGTGTCTAAGCGTCCGTTCTCGCGGAGGGCCCGTCCCCCGGCCACTCCCGGGCGTGTTTGAGCGTCCGTTCTCGCGGAGGGCCCGTCCCCCGGCCACTCCCAGGCGTGTCTGAGCGTCCGTTCTCGTGGAGGGCCCGTCCCCCGGCCACTCACGTGATCTGCTTGCTGCACTCGCTGCAGCGGAAGCAGTTCTTGTGCCAGACGGCCTTCTCGGCGTGCACGCTCTCCATCTGGTAGACCTGGCGGCCGCAGGAGCGACACTCGGAGCCGGCCGCCTCCGCGGCGTCCTGCCACACACCACCACCCCGCTGTTAGACGCGCCGCCCGCCGCGGCATCGCTCACGCCGGAGGGGGGGGGGGGGGGGGGGGGGGACGCTGGGAGACGGCGGAGCGAGGTGACTGTGCTGAGTGAGAGAACTGCCGAGAGCAGCGGCGTGAGGTGACTGCGCTGAGTGAGAGAGCTGCCCAGAGCTGGTGTACCGAGCCCAGTGCTGCTGGGAGACGTGCGTGACGATGGCAGCCAGATAGCGTGAAATACTGCGCGTGGGGAGGTGGCGGGGTCTGGTGACGGTCAGCACCGGGCACTACCGCGCGTCCGTCATAACGCCGCGTGCAGGGACCAAACAGGAAACAACCCGGCCACGGGGACTGCCTGACTCGGCGAATCCACATGAATGAATGCAATGATGCAGACAACTGTGCTTGCTTAGTGACACACGCAAGAATGGATGTCACGAACAATCAGCCACTGGAGCCAGCAACCGGCTCCATAGGGCGCCACGAACACGCCCGCCGTCCGGTACCTTGCTGAACTTGCGCATGGCTTTGGAGCTGTCAAAGGAACGGACGTGGATCCGCGTGTGGTCCGGCGAGAGTGCGTCATCCTTCCCAAAGCTAGAGCGCTGAAAAGCAACGGGTTCAAATCAGCCTCGCCGACAGGCAGACGTCCGGCTCGCGCGAGGCCCGCCAGCCGGGGTGGCACAGGCGTGGGATAAAGCGAAAACCAGCAGTCGGAAATCGTGTAGGTATCTTACAACAAACGTAAAAAACACCCGCCACCAAAGCTTCCCAAGGGGATCAAACCAGGGTTCAAGCGTGCGTAATAACGTGCAGTTCATTACAAACCACTTCCACCACAATCCCACCACCATAGCATCCAGCGTGTGTGTCATAACACTTCAGTCGGTCCGTCACATATGTACATGGTTCATGCAACAGCCAAAGAAAGGCATCACTCCGCGCAGAAGAGAGCTCAGGGCGACACGCATTGACAAAGGAGAGACCTCCACCGAAGGCGTGAGAGTCAGCCCGACTCCGCGAGTCAGAGCGAGTCTGAGTCGGCCCAGAGGCGCTGCAACAGAGGAGCGGCGCGTCAGACGTGACAGAGGGCGCGTCAGACCGTGTGCGGGAGAGGCCTCTCGACTACAGAGTGCAGACGTCACCAGAGCGGGGCGGCGCGTCGGCCGCTGCCGTCTTACCAGGGCGGCGCTCAGGCCGGCCGCCTTGGTCAGCTCCCGGCCGGGGCTGGGTACGGCTGGCTCGCGCAGTTGGCTCAGGTCGCAGAAGCTGGCCCGCTGTAACACGCCCCACACCCTGTACAGAGCGTCCCGCCCAGCCGGCGCCAACACCGGGGGCAAGCGTCCGCCTCCGTCCTCCAGACACCGCTCTAAACCGCCCCACACCCTGTACAGGGCGGCTCGCCCAGCCGGCGCCGACACCGGGGACAAGCGTCAGCTCCCGCCCACAGACACCGCTCTAAACCGCCCCACACCCTGTACAGGGCGGCTCGCCCAGCCGGCGCCGACACCGGGGACAAGCGTCAGCTCCCGCCCACAGACACCGCTCTAAACCGCCCCACACCCTGTACAGAGCGGCTCGCCCAGCCGGCGCCGACACCGGGGGCAAGCGCCCGCCCCCGCCCACAGACACCGCTCTAAACCGCCCCACACCCTGTACAGAGCGTCCCGCCCAGCCGGCGCCGACACCGGGGACAAGCGTCAGCCCCCCGGTCCCAGACACCGCTCTAAACCGCCCTACATCCTGTACAGAGCGTCCCGCCCAGCCGGCGCCGACACCGGGGACAAGCGTCCGCCCCCGGTCCCAGACACCGCTCTAAACCGCCCTACACCCTGTACAGAGCGTCCCGCCCAGCCGGCGCCGACACCGGGGACAAGCGTCAGCCCCCGTCCCCAGACGGCCGCTGGTCCGGCCGGCGCCAAAGCCGGGACCGGGCACATCTCATCCGGGAGCAGCGATCTGACGTCGAAGTGACACCTAGCGGCCACGACCTCGGACGGAGGCGGCGAGCCGCATCACACCACACCGCACAACTCCTACACCCAGCCGTCGTCTGGTCGTCAGCCCGCCACCGCGACAACAGGCAGCCACGATCCCCCAACTACACAGCTGCCCACCGGCCACGCCCTCCGCCGGCCCGCGCGCACAGGGTGCGCCGCCGCGTACCAGGGTCTTGACGGAGACGCGGGAGAACACGTCCGAGTCGCGCAGGCCGCGCTCGGGCGTCGCCGGCGCCTGGCGGGCCGACGCCGGCGCCGGCGCCGCCAGCGTCAGGTCGCCCTCTGATTTGTACCGGCTCTTTGTCAGGGACGTCGGGGGCGTCAGAGGCGTTTCGTCCTGCCGGCGTCGTTAGTGGGTTAGCGGCGCGGCGGGCTGCGCAGCGGCGGCGGCGTCAGGCCGAGCCGCGCGCCGGCCGTACAGATATAGCACATGTTAGTAGGCTGCCGGCCTGTTGACAAAGTCACACTCAGTCTTGGGAGGGGCGGTTAGTTTAGCTAACATGCAAAACAAAGCCCGTCTTTTTAAAGGCCAGCTGATCTGCTTTTGCTCAGCGAGTTGAACTCAGTCAACGATTCGGTGTCCGCCCAGTGCTGTCCCCTACCTGGGCGGCAGCGCGCCGGTGGCGCCGCGCCTCGGCCGGCGCCTGAAGCCAGGAGCGCGGCACGGGCGAGGCCTGCAGGCCCGGCAGGTCCACCGCGCTGGAGCTCTGGGCAGCAGCGTTAGGCGGCGCGCGTTAGTCAAGCGAGTTAGGCCAGCGGCTGGTGACAGCTCATGTTAAAGACTACTATCACCGTCTTTCCACTAAACTGCCGAAGCTTGAGTCACTGCTCCCCGTTTTAAGCAATCTGTACAATGTCAGGAGACCACGACGCAACGAGTTCCGTAAAAGCGCCCCCCTCACTCCAGTCGCGCATGCATATACACAAACATACAAGTCTGATGTCAGAAAACGGTCGGACCCGCCCAGTATTTATCCGCCCGCAGTCCCGTTCGGGTACGGAGCGCGCCCGGGTCCGGGCTCGCGCCCGCTGAGGTCTGCCAGTCGGGGGCGGTCCTTACCAGGTCCCGGATACTGTTACAGCGCGGGGCGGGGCGGGGGGCGGCCGGCCGCAGTGTCGGCTCGGGGGCCGGCGCGTCCGACAGTCGACTGAGGTCACCGTAGCTGGCCCGCTGCGGGAGGTCACCCAGGTCAGTCGATGTCCGGCCGCCCGGTCTCGGCGCCCTGGCCGTCCGTTAGCAGTGCTAGTTAAGCCCCTGTTAGACGGGTTAGTGTAGGCGGCTTGACTTACTTTGTGATCTGTACATTCCGTTCAGGGTTAGGGTGGACATGACGTAAAATTTTCCTGACACACAAACGATGATACTGTTTTAAGGTCCCTTATATCGATAATGAAGAATGGGAAACCAACTTAAGACATCACGAAAAGTGAGCGAGTTGCTCGAAAAAGTCCCGACGTTGGCTGCAGTCGCATTGACTTACTAGGGCTTTAACTGAGACCCCCATGCACGCACTCTTCAGAGAGTCTGACTGGCTGAAGGGGTCACCGCCTGGTCTCTCCCCGGCCTGGGTCAGGTCATTCCAGCTGGTGCGCTAGGGACAGCGAGCCCAGTGTGTTAGTACCTCAAACACCACCGGCCCCCGGGGCGGTCTTCCGCCGCACAGCGACGGCCGCCAGGCCGCCGCCCCACATGCGAGCCAGGCGGCCAGCAGGGGCGCAGCGCATCATGTTGTTCTTCCCATATTATTGGACTTCCTGGGGTTATTTAGCACCGGAACCTCACACCGTTGGCATTCGCACAACACCATTTAGCTGGCATGCTAGTGGGCATGCAAACACATGCTACCGAGCACGAGGTTATACACTTCACAATCGCACACGTGTATCCTGGCCACGTGCCTGGATGCATCACACAAGCGAGCAGCGTCAACAGCTAGCGCTGCACGTCCCTCGCCCAATGAGCGGTGGCCGTGCCATGTAACTCTGAGCCACCGAGGCTGTAAACAGTACCGCCCGCTAGTGATCTAGCTACCGCTGCAGCCCGCAGCCCGCTCAGCAGTCTGGCCATACACAGGACCCGAGCAGGCCAAAGCGGTCTCATCACACGAGGTTGCGTTCCAATGACCGAGCTGCACCACTTCCGCTCGAGCGACGCCCATCGACCGATCACCGGCGCATCCCATGTGGAGCACCTTCGGCCCGGAGATCAAGCGGAGACACGGGCTGATCAGCACCCCCTGCGGCTAAAGCCAGGGCAGACGAGACGACCAGCGTCTGACGTTCTGCAGGGAGCACCAGGGACCAACACCTTCCCAAAGGGTGGTGCTGCCCGACCGGCCGGCACTGCCTGCCGCGCGCCTCGGCGGGCAGCGCGCCACTGACCAGTTTGTCGATGCTGACGCCGGTGCGGATGGTGCGGGGCGCCGGCCGGTCGGCGGCGCCGCCCGCCTGCCCGTGACCCTGCGCCTGCTGCACGTACGCCGCCCGGATGGAGGGCAGGCTGAGGCCGGCAGGCAGGTCGGCCGCCGCCGCCGCCTTCTGGCCGGCCGGCTTCGGGCCGCCGTCCGGGCTTGAGTACACGGACTTCTGCCGGCGCCGGGACACGCGGTCAGCGGCCGCTGCCAGCTGCGCCGGCTCCAGGGCGAGGGCCGGCGCCGCGCCGCCGGCTGCGGCGGCCGCCTGGCGAGATCACACTGTGCCACCGGCGCCGCCCGCGGCTGGGGCCGGCGCGGCACCGCTGGCGCGCGGCCCGCCCGCCGGCGCTCGGTTGCACTGCTAGTGTGGGCGCGCGCGGCGGCCGTGACAGCGCGGAACCGAATCCGTACGGTATTGCGGAGAGCGGACGTAACGAGGCCGGGCGAGGCACGAGCATTGCTGCATGGCTCACGGGAAGTGATTACGGCAGACAATACAAACGGCTCGTAACGGCAACATAATACTTTTCATGGGAGCAACGGGATACCCCTACGCTTAGCAGAAAGTCGATCAGGGTTTGCTGCAAAGCATTCAGACATATTGCAATGCTGAAAGATGTTCCTAAGTGTTCCCAAATGTGGAGACACATTATTACGGCTAGGCTCACAACTATGCATACAGGATGTGGTCTACTTTTCAGTGAACGCAAACTTCGTCACCGATGAAGACCCTCTTTTCAAACAAAGCGAAATGTGCATGTCAAATGGAGTCCACAATGACCATAGTCATGCCAGCCAAGGTTGCAGATTAGCCATGTGCTGGGTACGGCATATGCTGGATAACCTGTAGGTAGACAGGACGCGAACAACACAACTGCTCAAGTGAACCCACGAAGGTAGCAGCGCAGGTGCGTCACACATTCACACCAGGAGGTGCCACTGTTGGGGGCTGCGCGCAGCGCGTGACGTACCAGCGAGGCCATGTTGACCGTGATCTTGGACATGTCTCGAGGCCGCGCCTCGCCGGTGGGCCCGGCGCGGGCCGCGGCCGCCGGCGGCGCCGCGTACGTGTTTTTCTGGCGACGGGCGGCGACGGCGTCAGCGCCTCGGCAGCGCGGGTGCGCGCCGGCGAGCTGCGCACCACTGTACATTCCACCGCGCGAAGCACTGTTCAGACATACGAATGCACACACGTGTACGCACATACACACGCACGCATGCACACACACATATGCCCAGACATAGCCACACCCACACACACGTGCGATGGTCCGTCCGATGGCGACGCGGTACAATGCAGCGCCTCACAGACACGATGCACGACACCGCCGGCGACACAGGACGCTTCTCTCCCTCTCTGTCTCGCTCGGCGGCGTTCTCTCCCGGTATCTGCACGCCCCGGCCCCCCTCCCCCCCCCCCCCCAGCGGCGCCGTGACAGGTCCACCGGCCGGACCACGTACCAGGTTTTTGATTGACACGCCCGTGTCGGGGCGCCGCACGGGCCGCGCGGTCGCTTTCGCAGAGTCGAAGTTCGTCAGGTAACTCGATCGCTGAAAGGTTACCGTCGCTCTTTGAAAACGCGCCGCGCGCCAGCGCCGGGCGCTCGCGATACGCGGAAGCTGGTCGGAAACGCAGCAGGTCGCCGCCTGGTGTGGCGTCTGCGTGTGAAACGCTACCGGACCCGACCATGCTTCGGCAGACGAGGCTAACAAGTCTAGCTGAAATCAAAATTTCAGACCAAAACATTAACGAAGTTACAATTAACGAACTTACATGAACGAATTTACTGTATTGCGCTGCTGGCACGTGGGTCAAATATCGGACTGATACTGCATGCCTCTTCGATGCAGTTCTATGCACTCCAAACCGGAACCGTGCGGCCCGACATTGGCGGCCGGAGTGTTCACGTGAGAGAATGTTAGCCGGGGAAATGGCGACGAGTCTGCAGCCGGAAAGACGCCGAAAGTCAGGTGTGGGAGGAGAGATCGTGCGCGTGCGACTCAGACGGGTTACGTGCGAACAGTTGACCGGAGCGTGCGGCCGTGCCGGAGAGAAAAACACACACCGAGAGAGACAGAGAGAGAGAGAGTGCGCAACCGCCACGCGCAGGGAGACGACCAGAAGGCGTGACAAAGGAGAATGGAGCCAAGATGAACCGGGGAGGAAGCCCATATGAACGACAAAACGGACAGGCTTAGATGGACATGCGTGCGTCCACGCTGCTCATTAGTCCGCACTTGACGCAATACGAAGGAAATGTAGAAAAACCAACAGTACGTGCTTTCTCAACATTGCGAAGGTCGTTTTGCCAGCGCGCTAAGACACATTCATTGGCCGTGCGAGTGTAACACACAGAGCAGCCAGAAAGGCAGACCAGAGACGACAGCCGACCACCTCACGCCGTCCTTCCACCAGCCCCGCCCAACTGCATGCGCCAAGGGCCGACCGCGTCACCGGCCTCCGGGCCTGCGGCGGCGCCAGGCCGCGCTGCTGACCAGCTGTCGCAGGTTGACGTTGGCCAGCTCGTCGTCGTTGTCGGCCTCGGAGCTCTCGGAGAGGCGGGCGCGGCCGGCGCCGGCGCCGCTGTCCTGGCTGCGCGTCAGCGAGCTGGCGCCGCTGCTGCCCTCCGAGCTGATGTCCGAGTCGCCCTCCGAGTCGAGCGCCGGCCGAGCCGAGCCCTGCGGTCGGGAGTACGCCGGCCCGGTCACCGCACGGTCGGTGCGGGGTCGGGAATACGCCGGCCCGGTCACCGCACGGTCGGTGCGGGGTCGGGGGCACGCCGGCCCGGTCACCGTACAGTCGGTACAGGGCCGGGGTACGCCGGCCCGGTCACCGCGCGGTCGGTGCAGGGTCGGGGTACGCCGGCCCGGTCACCGCGCGGTCGGTGCGGGGTCGGGGGTACGCCGGCCCGGTCACCGCGCGGTCGGTGCGGGCTCGCGCGAGTATGTTATGAGAGAGCAGCTTGGGTAGCATGATACCAAAGTGCCGACATGTCAATTCAAGTCTTACTGGGAGGATGCATTACATGACTTGAACATGCACGCGTGAGATTTCTTGGCCAGCTACAGAAGAGCAAACCGAAAGCAGCAAGCTTGGGTACCGGCCGAAGCTGTTCGTAACGCTTTTGTGGCATGGGAGATAATAAAAGCCTTCACACTGCCGCAGGACAGCGTTGCTAAATCAAAAAGCCTCAACACGAAGGTACCCACCCTAACACGCTTCAGCACCTCAAACAGAACAGCCCATGCACACAACATCCAAACTAGCTCCGTCTATCGCAGTCAGCTGGCGCACGCGGCACTGGGGAGTAGCGATAGCGTCGAGCCTAATGGCCCCGGGGTGCAGGCCGGCGGCCGCGCGGCGCGGCTGCACCGACCGCGTGCATGCGGACCAAGCATGGTCAGCACGCCAGCCGCCTGGTCACAGGCTGCCTGCCCCCATTCAGGCCTGTTACTCTGCGCTCCCAGTGCGGGCCGACCCGTACCACGGCCGCCCGGCTAGAGCCCCGAGGAACGGACACACACCTGCCCACACTCACAGAACCCCACACACGCACAGGCAGAGGCAGGGGCCGGCTACCCGAGCGGGCCAGCGGCGGATCTAGCGGCTCGAGGTGCGCGAGCAGTGTGCCCGGCCGACATGCTGACAACGTGCGTGCGCCCCTGCCGCCGCTCGGAGCGGGCCAGCGGGCGGGCGGCGCAGCGCCGCAGGCCACAGCGGGGTCACGCAGGCCACAGCGGAGTCACGCGGGCCACGGTCAGCGACAGCCACGGGCGAAAGCGGCGGCCACTTACAGAGCGCGGTCGTGGGGGGAGATCCGCTGGCAGTCCGCGATCAGCGCAGACCGCCGGCGCCGCCAAGTCACCACTGGCCCGGCGCGCGTCCTACGGGGGCGCGCCGTCGATAAGATAACCTGAAAGCTGCGCGGCAGGTGGCTTAACCGGGACGATCAGAGGTGTCGGGGGCGAAGGTCAGCGGCGAACGCGGCGCACCTGCCGCCCCCCGCGACGCGGCGTGAGCGCGCCTCTCCACCGGAGAGGGCCGGGTCCCCACGCACACCCGGCCGCCGACTCAGGGCACGCGGCACGCGGCGGCGCCGATCCGCGGGGCCGGGGCATCGCGGTCCGCCTGCACCGGCCGGTGCCGCCCCAGCCGGCGGCGGTGCGGACGGCACACGGCGCGCCCGCCCGCCCGCCGGGCTGAGTGGGTGTAATGACACCGAGCCGGCGGCTGGTCCCGACCGAACACCAGCTGGAGGCGGTTCATGCACAGCCCGATTCCGCCGCCGGCATAGACACTCTCTCAAGACAGTGGGAAGAAGGAGGGATGAGACGACGCGCCTTTCGTCAAGTTTCGTACATGATAGTCGATAACTATGTGCATCGATCAGGGTCGCACAGCTTGTCCATTAGCAGCCGGGTGGCCGGGTCAAACCGCCCCACACTCAGCCGCCTCGTGACCGCGTGACACGGCGGCGCGCGTCACGCCGCCGAGTCACGCGGCGTATCGCCGTTACGCCGCGTGACCGGCGCCGCGTCCATTCAGCGTCCAGCGCCTCTGACCTGCAGGCCGACTGTGACCCACTGTCGACACAGCGGCCCGTCGCCGACCGTATTGGCTGTCCGCCGGCCCCGCTGGCCCAATCAGCGGAGATGGGTCGGCCGCACCAGCACAAACAGCCACTCTCTCACTCGATCCCACCGCCGTGGCCTGAGACTCGAGCTCGGGTGAGTGAATTCAGAGTCCAGTTCTTCCCCGACAAAGTAGCCACCTGATCCCCGTTCTTCATAAGCCATTGAAAGCCTATTCCATACCCCAAGCTCATGCCCCACTCGGCCCAGAGGCGATGTGCGTTTGATTCGAAATGGATGCGCCGTTCACGGCCGTGTATGTCTGACAAACGGGCAGGTCCCGATCATATGTGAAAAGCGTGGTCGATGATGTATTTAGCTGCAGATCACTTGCCAACAACTGTTTTTCAAATAACATTCCAGCGCGCTACATGTCTCCATGGGGTTGGATCAGATGATTCCACTCGAGCCCATATTCCGAATAAAGGCGTCCCTCATTGGCATGTGTCTATGACGCTAAGTGGGCGGGCCTTGGGTCAATGAACAAATGATGGGTCAATGAACAAATGGGCTCTGAGAGGACTACACATAACGCCACACACGGGCGGCCGCACTGGCGTGAGAACTGTTACGACGCACTTCCCGGTGACGTCATAGGTTGCAGCCTGCGAATGGCGTTTGGCAATGGTGAACGGCGCAGCGGCCATGCCGGCCGCCCAAACCGCTGTTCGTCGGAGTGCGAGGTCCCGGGATCGCGCCCCGTCGCGGCCACTCGGAGTGGCGTCGGCCTGCCGCCTCGAAGGAGCCAGGTTACTCTACGCTGATCGATGCCGCAGCGCCGGCCATCACTCAGCCCCACCTGCTCCGCCACCCATCCGGGCGTCATTACCCAGCCGCGATACGTGTGACGGCCGACACCAAGCGCCGGCCGGCCAGCTGACGCCCTCACCGGGCGTTAATCAGACGTCGAGCCGGCGGCGGCCGCACCGCACCGTACCGGCCGTCCGCCGCCGGCGCACGCCGGCAGCGGACGCGCGCCACTCGGCCGGCGTGCAACTTCCGGTCGAGGCGCGGCCGACGCGGCCAGCGTGCGCCCGCGACGCGACGACAGACTGCAGTGGGGGCGGGTGTTGGAGCTGGTGCTAGCAGACTGCAGCGGGGGCGGGTATCGGAGCCGGCGCTGGCAGACTGCAGCGGGGGCGGGTATCGAGGCGGTCGACCGCGCCGCGCTGACCTGACGCGCTATCAAGCACAGGCGGCTTGTTGAAAGCGGTGCGAGCAGGACCGGATGTGAGGGCGCACTTTCGGCTCGGCCAGGCTAGGCGCCGTCTGATAAGATGAGCGTTGGAGGACGGCGGCTCAGATCATACCGTTGAGCCGAGATCGGACTATCACTGAGGCCAGTGATCAAACAGCTCTAGAGTCGAAATTTAGAGCGCATGGTTTGCCGACTAATGACAATGTTGGTGACGCAACCAAGACATATTCTGATGGATTGGCCTTCGCCCAATGGCAAAATAACACTGATTGCACCGGCACCACATCCATTTTCCGAATGTTGCTTCCTGCGAACATTGCAAGGATTTTTTCACGAGGCTCCTGTACAGCCCAATATTCAAGCGCTCCAAACGCGGTTTCAAAGAGACGTTGCCACATCTAAAAATGCAATGCTTTGTTAGGAACGCAATCAAAACCAGACTGACCACCACTTTTTTGCTGCACTTTGCATGCGATATCACCGATAAAAACACCATCTGGTATCTGATAAAGCCCCAAAGTTTACCGTCGATAACTGACACTGACACAGTTTCCTTCAATAAAACCGGCTTGTTCCACACGATCGTGACTCGGCCTCAGCGCCTGAGCCCAAATACTTTCCGACGGTACATCTGCCACCTGACCGACACCCCAGCCAAATCCGGGCAGAATCGCCAAAAACGAAATTACTTCGTTTAAGCGACGGCAGGACTCGACGTCCCATAAAACATCACAGCACCCGAATAGGCGTTCGAAGGCCGCAACATCCTTAACGGGAGGTGCTCCGACCTTGGAAGTCAGGAACTGCGAACCCAGCTCCCATTCGCGTGCCGCCTTGGGCGGGGACACAAGCGGCGCCGGGCCGGCAGCGCGCCGCGCGCCACGCCGTCCGCGGCCGGCGTGGCGCTCCGCTGCCTCCGCGGCGGCCCGCCCCGCGGCCCGGGACCGGGCCCGGCGCAGCCAGCCGCGGTTCCCAACACCGGCGGAATGTTGATCGCACGCCGCAGCGGCGCGCCGACAATGCATCGGCTTCGCCATCCATCACTGCGGTGCCGTATACGGTCGGCGGTCGCTCAGAGGAGAGCGGCGCCGGGTCAGCAGCGCGCCGACCCCGCGCGGCCGCCGCTCCGCGCCGCACACGAGCAATTACAGACCGAGTCTCTGGGCGCCGAAGCAGGCGCCTCTCGGGTCAGGCTCGCCTGTCACTGGCCGTGTTGTTTGACCTGGTTCGTCGGGTGGGCACGTGGGTGCGGGGCGAAGAGGTCTCGAATACCGACCCGGCTGGACGTCAGCTCCCGTCACAAATCCGTTAGACGGACCGTGTTCAATCATAATGAAGATAACGACGTGTCGTCCTGCGCTAGCACACTGACTTTGTCGCAAGGCACGCGTGCTTGACTTGACACGCGAGCCAGGTCCGGGACAGCTTAACGCGATGACCGTACGCCAGTCAAGACCCAGAGTACGTCCAGGTAACCGCCCAAACCGGTTCCTGCGATGTTATCTGGGCGCGGGTATCAAGCATACAATCACCGTCGCTGACAGATCTCGAGTCCGTGTTTAGGAGCTGGCGCATCGCGCAGATGGACCGGTCGGCGAAGCTGTTCTGCCGGCGCGGGACGCCTGGGCAGCCCGGCCCAGCCCGGCCCGGCCCAGCCCAGCCCAGCCCAGCCCAGCCCGGCCCAGCCCAGCCCAGCCCAGCCCAGCTCGGCTCGGCTCGGCTCGGCTCGGCTCGGCTCACCTCGGGTCGGGCTAGGTCGTCTGACCGCGCTCCGCGGGCCGTCTGACCCGGTTCTGCGGCGACCGGCGGCGCCAGTCACGGCCGGCGCCGGGGGTGGTGGGTTGATTATGGGAATCTAGTGAATTCCGGGCCTTATGAACCTTGAGGCATGCCCTGCCGACCACATAAAGGTTGTCAACAAGTTAACAGCAAGTCGGGCCCAACCATTCCAAAGCCTGAGGTGGAGCGTCGCTTCTGGTAATGCACCACCGGCAATGGATGGGTGAGTGGTTCCAGTTTCTCTTCGGCTCTATCGAAACTGTCGATCAGCGCGCCGGTCGGTCAAAGGACCCACGGCGGCCGCAGGCCGGGAGCACGGAGCTTTTCATCTCCGCTGCTCTCTTTCCCTATCGGCGTCGTCGTTCCGCTCACATTGAGCCAGAGGACGTCAGCCGGCTCATCGTCGACAGGCCCTGGCGATCGCCCGGATCATGGGGCGGCCGCCGGGAGGGCCGCGGACCGCACCCGGGCCAGAGGCGCCCGCCGCGCCGCCGCCGCTAACTGGGCCAGCCCGGGGCGCCGGCGCACGCGGCGCGATCTCCGGCCGCGATAGGTTTGTTCCGGGCAGATCCGCGCGACTCGCGGCGCCCCGCGACGCCGCGCGGCGACACAGCTGACCCAGATCGGCGGAGGAGCGCCGGCCGCCGGCGCACCGCGGCAAGTGCGCCTCTTCCCGGTGCGACAACAGGTACCGGGGAGAGGCGCGCGCGGTCAGCAGCTGCCAGTCCGCGGCGAAAACAGGGAGGAGACGGCGCCCGACCGCCCCCGGTGCCGATCACGAACGGGCAGCGGCCTTCTTCGATGCATGGAGATAAGGGAGTGGGTGGTAAACAGACCCATGAAGGGAAATGGGGGATCCAGGGGAAGATAACACTAATTGTTTCGCTTTCTGTTGACGTCACCAGCCGGCAGTGCCGCGCGCTGCCGCACGCTGCCCAAGAGGCATTCATCGCAGCGCAGCTGGCTCAGTCAGCCCACTGATGGTCAGTCTGCACAGACCTCACGACCAAACACGCCAGCGAGATGGCCCGGCACATCTGTCGCGGAATGTGAATGTCCCATCTGACTGTTTATCTCTGACACACATCCCACCCCATTCTTCAGCATGAGAGGGTGCTCGGCTCCGGCCCTGAGCGTCGTCGGAGCCGCCGGACGTCATCTTACGCCGCGGGGAGTCCACACGGCAGCGGTCCGGTCCAAGTGGGCAGATTTGGGACAGTCATCCCGGCCACTTCCGGAGCTGTAGCTGGACCACACCCCGGGGCGAAAGCACGGAGATTTACGACCGTACCCAGAGCGGCACGTTTTGCAGTCCTCAACGAGCGCGTGGGAATAACCCGCACGCGCATGCAACGGAACTGTGAAGGTAACGCCTGCGCTGGCCGGCGGGGGAGCCTGTCCATATGCGTGTCACTATGCCGTCAATCGCCTGAGAGCCAGGGCGGGGGACAGGACTGCTGGCAGCACCACCCGGTCACCGGAGGGGCCACACATCACCACCGCACATCCCCACACCCGTCAGACACCCGCGTGCCAGCGAAGAGCACGCCCCCCCCCCCCCCCCCAGCCGGTCGGCCGCACAGCGGAACGACACACAGCAGGACCACACCCCCACAACAAGCAGAGCACGGGGCGGGGCCCGGCCGGCGCCGCGCCGCGCCGCGCTGTCTGACCTGGTGACCCGCTGCCGGCCGTGGGCGGCGTCGGGAGACCTCCCGCACGCGCGTGGCCGCCAGCGGGACGTAGGAGCGCGTGTCAGCAGGGCCGGGGCGCCAGCCGGCCCCAGCTGACCCGCCGGCACCGGCGGCCGCCGAACCGCCCACGTTCAGGCTGTCCGCCGAGAACGAGCGCATGGCGTTCTTGACCAGTGTCGGCGACAGCAGGCCGCCGGTCGACGCCATTGTGGCGGCGGGTCGCCGCGCGCGTGCCGGGGTCGTCGGGTCACACCGCTTCCGCGCCGGTCACACGCGGGTCGCCGCGTGTGCGCGCGCGCGGCCACTCGGCACGGCTCGCCGCGACGAGCACGTCTGTGGAGGAGGCCGCGCGCCGGCCGCCGGCCGCGACCGGCGCGCCCCTGGCGGCGGCGCGGCGAAGCGCTTCCACGCCGCCGCGTGCCGGGCATAATAATCGGAATATTTGGTGCTGGCCGGCGTCATGTCGAGGAATGCAGGACGTGGGATGGCGGGCAGCCTGCTCAGGTTTTCCGTCCCCATCGGGGCCGTCGTCTCATGCGTCGACGGGTCGTTTATTACAACTCCAGCTACCACAAGAATGCTCAACAAAGACTGATGATGATATAACTTCGGTGTAGAAATGGGGAGAATGCAAATGTACAGTTTATGGGATGGCGTTACTGCAGATGCAGCCGCCGCGTGCAGACAACACTTAGGATCCGCTGATGGGGCGAGGCATCCCGCCCAAGCACCCTAACACAGAGCGAGCGGCATCGCGCCACGAGTCGCGCTTGCCCTAACCAGCAAACACGTCCACCACCGGAGGTCAGCCAGTGTTAACTCATGGCGCCACACGTCCAACGCCGGCACGTCAGCTCCCGTGCCCGCCTAACCCACTCGTCGAGCCGGGCCGCCGGCCGGCCGGCGCCGCGCACGTCCCAGCGCCGCCGCGTCGCTCCACGTGACGCACGCCGGCGCCGCCGCGTCCGGCGCCGAGCGTCACGTCAGCATGACGGCCGCCGAGCCGGCGTGACCCGGCGGCGGCGCAGGTCACTGCAGCCCCTCCCCGGTGGGGGCACACGCCCGGCCGGCCGGACGCCGTCATCACGCCGCGTTATCACTCGACGGAGGGCGGCTCGGCGAGGCCGGTGACCGCGGCCGGACGGCCAGCTGACACTGACACTGACCATGTCATGCGGACACTGACAGCGCGCGCCGGCCGGGCCACGAAGCGCGTCCAACACGCCTGCAACAGTCCCCAGTGGCCGCCACCGACGGGCGGGCGGGCAGCGCGAGCGGACCGGCGCCGGCGGCGCGCACCGTCGGCTCAGGGCGCCGCCGGCGGGCCCGCGCCGGGCACGCGGACTGAGCGGCGGCCGCCATGTGACGGACAGCACGGTTGGGCTGCCCCCGGCTGAGCGGCCGGCTCTCAGCGCTCCGACCGGCGGGAAGCGGGGCGGCCCGGCCTCCTGGACGGCCGAGAGGCACGCCACCAACGGCGGCGCCGGCGAAAGCGCGCTCCGACATGCGCATTTAACGCGGTGCATCGCACTCCTCTCCACCCCCTCCACCCCTCCCCGCCTCTCCCTCTCCCTCTCGCTCTTTCTCTTTGTCTGTTCCTCTCCCCTTCCTCTTCCTTTCTTCCTCGTTGCTTATTTTCCGCCCGTTTTTTTGTTGGCAATTCGCATGCTAGTTTGACACGCAGCCCATTGGCGACAACAGCTTTCTAGCGCCACGATGCATCCTGCGATAGGCGCACAAAAACTGTAGTATTCCCATGACCCAGTCCCGCCCTGGCCGCACGGCGACGGCGGCGTCTCAGTGGACGGACGGGAGCGATGTTTCCTTGAATTAAGAGCCGTTTGAAGACGGGTCCAAGGGCGCGAGCGGAGGCCGGCCTCGACGGACCACCATCGAAATGGGCATCGGGTTTCACAACGGACGGCAATGGCGCCAATTACACCGGGCCCGGGCCGAGAGCTCTAAATCTGGCGGTATTCACTAGGAAGTGCCAACACATTAACAGGAAGTCGCAAACAATGCGATTAGACCGAAGCGACAATGCAATTAACCAACGAGGCGCAGTGCGAGGTGCTGGGAAAACGTCATTACCGCGGCGATAATTGCGCCTCGAGCCGCGGGCCGTCACGGCGGCGGCACGTCAGACCGCGCCGCACCGGATCGCCTGCCTCGGTCGGCGCGACTCCCGTGTCCGCGCCATCTCCCACACGGCGCGAGTCCACCGCCGAGCGCGGCGGTCGACAGCGGCCGCTCTCGCGGGCGGCGGCCTCCGGCGGGGCGCCGCCGAGCCCCGACGCAGACGTCACGCAGGTGTGACACGGCCGGCCACGGGGCCCGCGGTGGGGAGCGGCGCAGGCGGCCGGTCAACCAGCCGGCGGCGGGCGGCGGGCGGCGGGCGGCGGGCGGTCCGGCCGGCGCTCCGGCGCGGTGACCTCCTCGACCGAACCTGGTGCGGCGCTCCGCCGGCCGCCGCCGGCTCTAATTAGCCGACCGCCCGTGGCCGGCGCCGCCGCCGCCGTCCGCCGCGGTGTGGATGGCCGCGCCGGCGCCGGCGGCACCGGCCGGCGCGACGTTAGCCCAGATGCGGACCGGCCCCGGTCTCCGCCTCCCAGTGAAAACCGCGGCGCGGGACGCCGCCGAGTGTCGGCGGAGGTGTCGCGGCGGGCGCTCGCGCGGCGGTGGGGTTCCTGGCCCGGATGCGACGCGCTTGGTATGAGGGCCACCAAGATAGGGTGATGCCCGGGAAGATCAGGCGAGGTTCCAGTTTATCAGATAAGACGATGCCCCGGGAGATCGGGTGCTGCTCGAGAAGGTCAGGCGGTGTTTGGGGAGAGCCGGCGATGTCCGGGGAGATCAGGTGCTGTTCGGGAAAATCAGGCGCTGTTCGGGGAGATCAGGAGATGTTCGGGGAAATCTAAAGCTATTCGGGGAGATCAGGCAACGGTCAGGGAGCTCAGGCCGTACTGAACATCAGGCGATGATCGGGAAAATCAGCCGACTCACGGGGGCGTGACTGGACGAACTCAGTATGCTGCAGGAGGTGGTGCGGAATAGGGTGGGCTATGTATTATCGTTTGCGCGAACAACAGATTACAGAGCACGAATCTTTGTTGAGCCCTTTCGTTGCAAAAGGACAGCCTTGAACGTGGTATTAGCAAAGCAACGAGACGGCTTTAGGAACGGCGCCGTTTCACTATCAGCGTCTGTGCGCGATGACAGTAGCAGGCAGTTCTCCTCGCTCATTGCTATGGCAGCAGCGCGGCAGTTCTCGCGGTCAATCACCATGACAGTCAGCAGGGGAGTTCTCCCGGTCATTGCTATGACAGTCAGCAGGGCAGTTCTCCCCACCATTGCTATGACAGTCAGCAGGCAGTTCTCCCGGTCACCACCATGACAGTCAGCATGGAGTTCTCCCGGCCATTGCTATGACAGTCAGCAGGCAGTTCTCGCAGTCATTGCTATGGTAGTCAGCAGGCAGTTCTAGCGGTCATTACAATGGCAGTCAGCAGGCAGTTCTAGCGGTCATTACAATGACAGTCAGCAGGCAGTTCTCCCGGTCATTGCTATGGCAGCAGCAGTCAGTTATCCCCGTCATTACTATGCCAGTCAGCAGGGAGTTCTCCCGGTCATTGCTATGCTCTGCTGACGCCATGCCTGGCAGCGTTTGCCAAGTGGGCCAAGCTTGCTGAATTCTGGCAATGCGTGTTACCTCACCAACATCCTTCGTCTTGCTTGTGTGGAAATACGAATGTGTGAAAGCAGACACGATTTCTGCATCGAAATTCGTTGACTAAAATTTGTATCGTTCTTTATGCGGGGGTGCTTAACATGACAACGCTTATATGACACTACAGATGCTTATGACGTACAAACGACATGTGAATGGTCCCTCTCCGTAATAGAACACAAAGCAGCTGTTTGCAGCATTCATAAGTGCAATTCTGAACATGGCTATGGTTACCATGACATTGCAGATGCTAATCACGTAGAAAAGGTATCTGATCGCATCCCAGCACAGGGAAGCTCGGCTGTTATCATGGACAACTGTGTAACCACGAGCTCAGGTCGGGGCAGAATACGAAAGGAGGCGCACATCACGACCACGAGCTCACCTGCACCAAACCCGCCCCTGTACAAGCTTCCTTCTTCAACGCGACAGCTGTCACAACGGGTTGCTGCGCTCATAATCCAAGTGGTGCCACATCCGGTAAACATTCCGCCAGCTTCCACCCGCCGGCCGGGTGACGGCAGCGGCTCACGAGAGCGCGCGACCTCGGAGGCCGCTGACCCACCCGCAGAGCCGCGCATCGCGGCCGGCCGGCCAGGCAGCGAGCCGGCAGACAGACAGCTGGCCGCCGCCGGCTCGGTGAGGTAACAGACGCTAACGACCGCCGACGCAACGCCGCCGAGTGAAACGGGCATATATCGACAGGCGGCCAGTGTGCCGGCGACGCCGGCGCCCGTCACGGCGTGGACTGCAGCCGGGCTAGCGGCTCTCTCCGGACCATTAGCGGCTCGGAGCCGGCAGGAAAGGCCGGCGCGACGGGCCGCCGAAAGTCCGTCGGCCGAGCAGAGAGAGAGAGTTGGCACGGACAGATCAACAGCCGCTGGCGACGGCGCCGCATCGCACGCCCATCTCGGGCGCAGCGGGCCGGCGGCCGGCGCAGGGGGGCGTCGTCAGCGGCGGGGGCGGCGGCGGCGGCGAGAGGCGCTAATCCCACTACCCGCCGACAGATATAGGACGGCCGGGGGAAGACAGTCGGCACGCAAACAGGCACGGGAGGAAGAAAGTGGGGGAAAACAATCGGGACCGCAAGGAGTAAACAGGGTCCACCGACTGTGACCGGCGCAGCCGCGTCGCCCGCCTCAGGAAGCCGCATAACTTCCAAGGCCTTGACTGCCGTCAGCTGCGACGATCGAAGCCTTACATGCACCACTGACGGCGACCACTCTGGCTTCACGGTGCGGGTGACCGGCCGCCGTGTTCAGCCGCGCAAGACATGTAGTCGCAGGCACAGCCCGGCTAGTTCCAGGGACACATGTACTCGTGGCGCACGGCCATCGAAATGCAAGGGCATGGGGCGCGTCAGAGCTGGCTGCGTGACGGCGCGTTGCGAAGCTCCAGCGTGCGATTCAACGCGCTTGAAAATAACCGAACGTACTTACTCAAACCTTTCATAGCCAGTGAGGAAACAGGACAACGCGGAATGTTTTTGTTCAGTTACATTTCACTCGAATCGCTCATTTTTGCCTGTGCGCACTTCCCGTGAGCCGGCGTCCCAAATGTCAGCTGTCC